AAATGCCAGGTGGCCAGGCATCAAAATCGGGACATGTATGGCAGGAGCCACGCTTATTTGCGGCTGAATACGGTTTGAAAATTGGCTGTATATTAAGGCAGGTACACAGCTGCATATTAACAATAATTTCCCCAAATGTGTGGTTACGTTTAAGCCAACAAACGCCAAAAATGCGGCGCAATAATAATTGCCATTGCGTGGGCGTGCGTCTGCATGTATGTTTGTGTGTGTATGTGTGTGTGTGTGTGTGTGTATGCGTACAATCATTAACATGTATGCCGCACTCAAACATGAAATGTCTGGCCAATATACAGAGGGGCTATGTACTACATAAACATATATCCCGAACAAGAGCAACAATAACAACGACAAATGTGCGAAACAATAATAGTGGCAATGTGTGTGGGCTTGTTGGGGTGTGTGTGTGTGTGCGCACGTTAATAATGACAAACAACTACTAGTATGTGTGTGTGTGTGTGTAGGTGTCTGCCCTGTGCCTTGGGCCACATTGTTGCGCCCTTTGGCCTTTTGCTGTGGCAATTAAATTAAACTTAACATTTCCCCAGCTCCACACAAAATGTATTAAAAATAAGTAATATGAGGTACGCGCTTTTCCACGGACAATGCACTTCGGGGCGTGTGCACAGCTGTGTTACATGGGCGTGGCATTGAAATTAATATGTAGACTACTAAAATGTCACTTCAGAGATTTCTGTTCAACCAAATATGGACAGTCTATAAGCATTCGAAAGAAGAAGGGCGGGGATATTTAATTATTTGTATCTGTAAAGCTTCACAAGTTATTTAAAAATATTAAAACTTAATTATAAGTCCATGATTTTTTCTGTTTGTACTCGCTGCAGCCAAGTGTGTTTTGTCGAAAAGTCGATTAAATTTAAAAATAATTGATGAAGATGCCTTCATTGACATTGTTACAAAACCAATTTCCCCATTCCAGAGTATAAACATCTTCTTAATTAACTCTCTTTGGTACTTATGACTATTTTGGCAGGAAGGACCTGCAGCTGGTAACTTTCTGACAAATCCAGATTATTATTCCTGTTATTTCTGAGCATACTCGTATTTCGACGCAGCTCTGAAACAAATGAATGTAAGCTAAATATATTTCACTTCATGATATTGAAATGCATTCAATTTCCATTAATGCTAAAATTAAGCAAATATTATTGTTTTCATACATTTAACTTATATATAAAGTTCAGCTGCCGGTTTCGTTGCTGTTATGTTCGTTTGTGGCCAGGTCGATCGACTGTCTGGACTGCAATGCTATTGAAAATAGAACAACAGCAACGGCAACAATACGAGGCTTGCAAAATTCAGGCAGGTAAATAAAATTTAACAATGCACAAAAGCTGCAAAGCAGCCGGCCCTTGAGTAGCAAACGAATTTCAAGTAATTGTACCGAGAATTGAGTGACATAGAATCGTTTGAGTTGCCGTATCTGACAAATATTGAAAGTGACTAAAATGTTGGCTAACCGAATGCCATACAAAACGTGTGTAAGAGCGGCGTGTTAGCAAGCTTATCGATGCTTTACCTTGTTAATGTCTGTGAAGTAAATTTAAATTGAGAAATTCTATACAAAACGAAATTTGCTTGTTTAGGAAAGCTGGATAATAGACTTTGAAAATTTAATTTTAAGCAATTTGATCTAGTTCCGTTCAGGTTTCGAAGTACAATGTGTTGGCATAAGCTCAAGATTGGCATACAAGTAAAGCAAGTTAAGTTATTGTCTAGTTGAATTTATTGAAATTCGTAAAACAACCGAAAGTTTTCGTCAGGTATTTTATTAATTTACTAGCCGTACACTAAGTACATGCCCGTGGAAAATTGATCTCCGATTCTATTTAAAAATATATTTTAAGTGCATGTGCCTCTTGGGGTGAAATCTTGAAGCTTAAGAATAAACTTTCGTGCTTTGATCTCACACTGATATTTGAAAATGATTTTGAAGCCGATCTGATGATATACAAAATACTTTTGTACTACTTTTTTCGCTAATTAACCATTGTTGTTGGTGGAATTACCCAAATCGCTGAAGCACGTATTCCTTAAGTTCTTGCGTAGAATTTTGAAAATAAATTTGAAGCGATTCGGGCAAAAAAAATTTAGCCTAAAAAATCGTCGAATCGCATTTCGACAGAGGAAACTTGGATTCTGCGAAAAGTGAGCCACACGTTTCAAATGATTTTTAATATAGATCTATGAGAATACACACTGCAGTAAAAATCTCAGCTTACGTACGTTTATTACCAATCCATCAGTCAGTCAGTCAGTCACAATCATTTTATATATAATAGATATTGTGATAGACTTACTCACAAATTCGTAAGCAATGTATAAATATATATGCTAACTAAAGGCTCACAGACAAACGCATGATTATAGAGTAAAAACACGCGAAATGTCAAGGTCAAAACGAGCGTAGGAAAGGGACATAATAGTAGGGAAAGCGTGTGTATAGGACGCCAAATAAGTACTAGATTACAAACAGAGATTGTATAACACTTATAAGCAGTGCATGAATACCTGTGGGTACTACTTGAATTCCTGAGGATCGCATAGTGGGACGATACTTAAAAGTGGGGTTTTGGTTTTTACATCGTTCTAAAGAATTATAAGAAAGTTTAATTAAAGTTGGACTGCATATGATTTATGAAAAGATTCACATACACACCTAAAAATGCATCTGCGTTTGGTAAAAGAGAAAATACCAAGGGGGTGTTGCCCGTGCTAAGCCGAACCTTCATATCTGGAAGTGTTGGCTCTTTGGATCTAAGAGAATTAACATGATTAAAAGGATTGCGGCCTGTATTTTTATGCTAGAGATTGATGGTAGTAATATGTTGAACAAGGTTTTTCAAGTGTATTCACTATGTTGGCTAACGTGTAAATCTGTGTTTCCCTTAGGACTTTTACAAGCTGCTTCTCATGTTTAAGGCCATGCATTTCAATAATAAACATTGTGTTTGCTTCTACTAATGCATGCATGTTCATTTTATGGTTTTATTGTATTTGTTGTGGCCTTGTTTTTCTCCAGTAATTTATTTTGTCAATATTTGTAGAATAAATTGCCAAACAAATCTTTTGGCATTGCAATATCAAACGTTGCACTAATTGAAAAAATATATCAAATGCAAAGCCAAACAACTGCATGCTAATAATAAACTCCATTCGTTTCTAATATTTATATATATTTCTAATTTACTCTTTAAACGATTTTGAAATGGTTGGCAATCCAATAAAACTGCTTTAGTAAATGTTATTATCAATTACATACATCTATACTTTGTACTTGGTCTCCTTAAAAGATGGGTCCATAAATAATATGGCCATGCCCTCACTAATTGGAAAACATGTGTATACCTAAATCAAAAGAAAATATCTGTCTTTTGTAACATAAATTGTATATATATTCTTGGTCAGCATCAATATTTGAGTTGATATAGAACGCAGGGCCTATAAGTGTTAGCGACTTAAAATTTGAAACGTAGCTCCTCATTTTCAATCATCTTACTTACCCCATTTCCCTGTAATCCATAAAAATGTATGTCGAAATCCTGTTTTTTTAAGCAAATCCCTTCAAAAGTAGCTTTCATACAGATCAAGTATTTTGAATTTAATAATAACAAGGATAACAAGGTTAATGCATGAATATCCCTTGATATAGGTCAATTTATTGTAAAGCTTTAGAATGTTCAGAATATTCCATAGTCGGGCACTTCTGACTAGAGCACTCTAGTTGTCAGTTTTTAGAGTCATTTCCTTGGTATTATAGTCTAGCTGTTTTCAACTAGCTGGAATTAAGAAAAAGAAACAAGCTAAGCTGTGCATCAATTTTTTAGGCTAGTTAATAGAACACAAACAAACATAAAATAAATATTTTATGCTAAATAATAAACGAAACATTCTGCAATCGTTAAACAACAAAAGAAGATACAAAATAAATGGGTGCATCAAAATATTTTGCGAGTGCAACACAATAACATTAAAATTAATTAATGAACAACAAATGTGAGGCTAGACAAAACATAATGCGACCAGAGACAAGCACAATAATATTTATGCGCCCCACAGTGTAATTTTTAATGAGTGTGTGTGTAAGTGTGTGTGTAAAACAACGAGCTGCTTTGCCGGAAAACAATTATAATTACAATAGCCATAAATGTAAATTACAATAAACAACCGGAGCTTGTGTGTGCGTATGATTGTGTGCAACATACATACTCAAACTGCTTAGAACCAGAGTCAAAAGTCATTTCCATTTATGTGCAACACACTTGACCAGGAAAACAGGCAGCGCCGTAGCACGATTCAGTTTTACTGCCGCTGCCAAAAAGTCGACTATAAAATTTTGCACTTTACAATGCGCTCAAGAGGAGCGAGCGAGATGGATGAAGATGCGGTGCCAAAACTAGAGCTCAACAATGCTATAACTGTGAATTTAGATTACTTATGATGATTATGAGTCGGTGCCTTACCAACATAAAAAAAAATCTATATATATATATATATAGAATGGAAAACCTGAAGAGCAATTGAGTGCACAACAATGCGCATTTCTTGATGGTCCTTTAACGTTCTCAAGTTTAGCATATGGCAAGCAACTCTTCTCTTCTTCTAGGTGCACACTATGTTGTAGGCGCGCTCTCATAAAACTCGAATAAAAACAATAACAAAACAAGAGCCCACAGTTTTTATGGCTCATATAAAGCATAAGCTATGGCGCCTATTACAAAAAATGATGTGCACACACAAGCAAAGTTTTTCGGTAGAATTTTAGTGGCGTGCATTTAGTTCTAATTGGCTGAAAGCATAAAAAGCTTTTGGCAATTCATACATACAAGCATAAGCATTCTCCTTTAAAATGGTTGTGATACTATTATTATGAATCTTAAGTTTAGATAGTGGACATTTCTTTTTTGGTTCCATGTTCATTAGAATGTTGAAACTATTAAATTAAGACATGCTATCTTTGCTTTACAACTCGTGTATTATAGTAAACTATTTTTATAACAACGTAAAAAATTAAAAACAATGCAATTGTAGTATGTGTTTTATTTAACATAAGATAGAAATAATCTATGTTTTTTAGTATCAAGCGCGAAGAGAAAGCATAATTGAGACGTTAAGATGCTACAAGAGAACTATCCGATTGTTAAGAGGAGCTCACGTAAGCACTGATATCTTTAGCTTCAACCTATGCAATAGAGGACACTCAGGAGCGATTTCAATGCTCATGCCACTAAGCCGATTGACAGCGACATCTGTGGTTACATAGGTGGTGAGAGAAAAAACTAAATCTTATGCAAAGTTAAGCGCATTTGCGACTCTTAACCAAATAGACAACTGCTTGCTATGCATTTAATATTGAGCCTTGAGATTACGTATACGCATAGTTTGACCACAAATGGTAAGGGGGGCGTTGGCGGCTGCTACTTATTACGGCAGTTGGCTATTTCACTGCTTTGGGTGCTGAAACTGCTGCTGCTGCTACTGCTGGCTCTGACTTACCAACATAATTAAAATTGTGGCTGAATTATAAATGGCACCTGTGGCGGTTGACCACAGGTATGCAGCGAGCTGTGTGCACATTGCCGGCGTGTGAAGTCCTGCGGCTTCTGCTGAGCACTTAAGGCGACCCTCACAAAAAGTACACCACACTACAGCAACAAAAACAGCAGCAGCAAATAAACCAAAAAGCAAGTAACAACAACAAGTTAAAGTTGTCTGCTGTACCATTTCATGGTATAAATTTTAAGTGCAGCACATTAACGGGTTACAGCCCCACCACAAAAAGCAAAACATATATAAAAAAAAATAAAAGCAAGGGGAACTCGAGTCAGAGTGGCAAATGCACCTGCAGCTGCCACTGGCTCTTAGCCGTGGCTGCAACATATGGTCGTGTCATAATTGCCAGAGCGCGACTTTTTCGCCAACTCGGTTTAACATCCAAATGACTTTCCATAAAGCGACTACTGACCCAAATTTTGAGGTTACATTATTAAAGCGCTGGCTTTGCGCATGCAAAAAACTTTTACCATTAAACGGATGTTAAAGCCACGCCCACATTGTGCACCTGGCTGCCTGCCTACCTGCCTTGCCAACCTGGCTAAGTCCAAGCCCCATGCTTGACTTGCACTTATTGTTGAAGGCTGCTTAGCGGCATTTGCTGTACTTGGTATACCCTGTACACAAAGAAGTTAGCCAAGAATGTGGCTTAATAGCACATAGAGAAGAATGATAAATTATAGTTTGTATATAAAAATGGTCGGTTGGAGATTTGTTGTGTAAAATCTCGTAAAGCTTGATACCTTCCGAAAATCAAAACAAGGCATCAGGCGTATATTTTACAGCAACAACTTCATATTGATTTTTTTTAAAATCGGTATCATGTGACTTTTCTTAAATTCTCATTATCAACAAGAAGAAATGCTCTTTCGAGCCCTTTTGTATACAGTCAGTAAACTATCACAGTTTTGCTGAACTTAACATCGACTTTTGTTGGCATTATAAATATTCATGTCTATTGATAGTATTATTGGCATCGGCTATCGTCTATTTGAAACAACCATCGCTATTGTGGAGTATTGGATATGGATGTGTTTATTTAAAGGCGAATATTTCTACAGGGTATCTCTCAATCGTGCCTTTTTTGACTAGAGCAATCTTACAAGTTGTTCTTGTTGCTGTTGACTTGTAATTTTTCTACTCGAACGCTCGACTGGGCCACGATAAAGCTTCTGTCGCTTGTTCTGCCATTTTTATGCCATTTTTACAGTCCTAATAATAGCAAGCGCTCTCGACAGCATAATCACTTGTTTTATGCATATAATTTTCTGCATGAGCAGTCTCTAGTTCTAGCCCACAACTCTATAGGTGGGTACCTATAGCTCCAGCCATTTGGCATATTCGAGTGTATCCCTGGTAAACTGTTCATAATCATTAGTTGGCTGGCAGGCTATGAATAATGACTTGCCACTTGATATTGGTAAGCAAATAGCTAGCCAAAAATTATTAATGTGCCTTTTTGCTAAAAGGTGGGATGGCGGTGACTGTGGCAATTGCTAAGCTGTGGCCAGTACCCAGCCGTAGGTCCGTGCGCAAATACTTATGGCCTGTCCGTCCGTCTGGGGTGCTGTCAAGCAGCATTTAGTGGGGCGCGGTTGTGGCTAACCGATGGCTTCCATTGATATGTATAATATTCAGCTAAACAAAACTCATTTAAAAGAAATGCCTTAAATAGGTTTTTGCTCAGCATGAGATTTACACAGTTTTCTCATGATTTTATTTAGATGAAATGTTTGGTTTTTTAAGATTGTATATACATTGTTTTTAATAATTTGATTTTCAGGTTTATTATCGAAATGGAAGTTTATTCAAATAATGTTATGATTATTTTTAAACGAATAAACATTTTAACCTGTACTTTATATGTTAAAGTAATTTTTTCGTTAAAATATTTAAAATTATTTCTTTGAACGTAATCAATTTAAATAGGGAAATTCAAAACGTAAGTTTAATTGGCTTTGAGAAAATGGGGAATAATCCGCTATACATATAAACGAAACCATTGTGAGCACTGAAAAAATATAATTTTTTAGAACAATATTAAATCATTCGAAATTGATATACACTTAACTACTTAACATAAGTAAACGGAATTCAGAAAAAGCTGCTTCAATTGGTAAAAAATGGAAAATCACTCATAAATCGAAATAGCATGGAATAATAATAATATTATTTACAATTGTTTTTGTATTTTTTCTTTTCGGTATGGCTTTGTCAGCCGCGTATATTACATGATTCAATGGGGCCAACTGATTGTTTATAAATAAATACGCAAGGAAATAAAAGGGCAAATCGACAATATAAAATAAAATGCATTTTAAAATCAGTGAAAGGTGAAATTCGGAAAGTAAAAAATGCCAATCTGTGTGGGCTATATTAAAAATGCATAATGAAAAACACCGTGTGTTTATTGTGGGCGTTCAAAAGTAAAAGTAGCGCAAAAAAGCGACAGATTTTATGACCTGTACTCATCGCATAAGGGTATATATGTTAAGACATATACGTACACACATATGTATGTACACGTATGCGATGCTGCACTCAACGGCGGCAATCGAAAATAAACATGCATCAACGTGCTGCACGCACCGCCGTAAACATGTTGGGCACGGCCCGTGCAACGATTCTGGAGTAGCCATGGCCATGGCACGCTACCCAAAACCGACACGACATGCCACTCATTTCAAGTAGCCGCCCCATTGCCATTGCCCCCTTGTTCCACCGCTGGGTGGGTAACAGCAGTGGTGCGCACATCACTTCATTCAGCAGCAAATTGAATAACAACATTTTCCATTTGCTACATATTTTATATGGTGATTAAATTAAAGTTGCAACGTGTTCTAGAGTACGGCCAGGTAGGGAAATCGTCAGGCAATTTCTACAAATTGTCAACTCACGACCCGTTCACCATATTAAATACCAGCTTACGTCTTTGGTATGTAGATTTACATAATTTACATGAGTGAGAAACTCAAAAGCTTACTAAAGACTTCTTAGTGTGGAACTTTGTACAAAGTAACATTTAGATTGTTAAGCGTATTTAAAAATTAATGTGTATTATCCTAGTTATTTGAAATTTGATCATTTTGATTGGCATAAGGAAATTAACATGACACAAAATAATTGAAATTTGTTCATCATGCTTCTTTCAAATCGGATAACTAGAGAACGCATACATATGTATATTAGATATTGAACGTATATTTCGAAAAAACGAGTTGATTTAATGGATTTCATGCATTGACATAACCCTCTTACAGATATCGCTCATAGCAAAAAGTTGTATGGAATCAAGCCATATAACGGGCATATGAAAGATATAAAATTCCAAATTCCTTTTGTTTGCTAGCAACAAATAAATAAATAAATATGCAGCTTACAGCGCCCAGCGATATGCAATGCATATTTTTTATGTCCCCATAACGCCGCCACATACGATTGTAAATACAATTTATGCATATGTGTGTGACACATGTGTATGTATGTGCTTGTGTGTGTGAGTGCGTGGCAGCATTATAATGCCACTACAGACGCACGGCATTCGGTTTATGATTTACAATATCACGGTCAATAATAAAAAATGACGATGTAAAACTTTAATAATCACAAATGCTGTATAACAATATGGTTGGGTGCCTATTCAGTTTTCAATGTCAAACTGGATTGAAAATAGAGAGAAAAAATGCTGAAAAAGCATTTTTCAAGCTTAGCAATGTTTTGTAATTGTTCAGAGTCAATAAAATGAAAATTGTTAAAGAGGATTTTGTACAAAGCCTTTGCAATACGTGCAAGCTAAACAATACCAATATTTAATAGGCATGTTTATGCTTATAGAATATTTTACAATAATACGCTTGCTCTAGTAAAATTCATTAAACTGATTTTAACATTCAATTATGCAAACGCATGTAATTCGAAATGAAATAAAATTAATTATCTGCAACAATGCCGAGCGGTCTGCGAAACAGCCAATTCACATAGATATTGTAATGAAATCAAATTAATATTGCAAAATTCGCTCATAGTCACATACTTAGCATATATCTTTGTATGTGTTTATATATTCATACATATCTACTTTTATATATCTGTGTCTATAGCTTTTTACAAGTTGGTTGAGTTACGCAAACAGTTTTAATTTGTAAAATGAAATTCAATAAGCTTCAAGCTACATTTTTAATACCCAATTATTCTACTAAACTGATATTTATAAAATGTGTGGATTTTTATACCCTGTACCGAAGTTGGGGAGTAGTGTATGCTTCAATTGTTATAGCCCCAAGGTAAGCACTGGTACAGACTTGTGCCTAACGTTTCACGCAAATAGGAAACCTAATCGTATCTTTATTCTGACAGTTAAATTCTACAAGTTTACAAGCGGTAACGAGCTGCAGGATATTTTTTCTCAACAATCGTTCCGGTTTCAGGTTAAAGTTTATTTACTATTTTAAAACATAGCATACAGAATAAAGTTACATGCAGCTAGGGCACTTAGCTAGTTATAATCGCATTTACGGCACAGAAATTCATGAAAAATATATTCAATTTGCATACTCTCAAGTTCATTTTTGATCATCAATCATTCTTCCTGTTGTCAAGCAATCAATAAAAATCGATATTGAAAGCCGGGCTTCTGTTCAAATCTCTTAGGTTTAAAGAGCTAGATTTACCAAACTTGACGTACTTATATGATAGCTTTCAGAATAGTATATACAGATCGAGAATCTCGCATTTCATGGCTAAATTGATTTTAATTAATTCAAAAATATCCCTTTACACACAAATAGGTAAAATAATTGAAATGCAATGGAATCAAGAGCTTGGCGCGAGCTGTATTTTACATGAGTAGAAGAAGAGTTTGGGTATCACCAAATCGGACACTTCCGACTAGAGCACTCTTATATGTTTGTATTGGCAAATAAAACTCAAAGTCGACTATTCTTAGCTAGTATTTTAATATAATTTCTATTTATGTTTACATTGTTTTGTACACTTCAACCTTCAGCCAATAAATTGTGGGAATATTTTATCGTGGCCAGTCTTAGTATACAAAAAAATTCATATAAGTAAATGACTTAAAATTCAGAAAACATTTGCATGGGCTGCTGTATACTGAGTTGGTCGAAAACGAATGTACGGAAATAGTAGTTTCAATGCGAGACAGCACTTGAGGTGCATCTTGAAAATTAAATTAAATATGTAAGATAATCGCAAGAGTAAAAGAAAAATTTGAAAAGTTTTTTTTTCGGCTAACTCTTTATCAGGTATATTGGAGAATCTAGTATTATTTCTGTCACTACTCATTAATTTTTCCTGTGTCCAAAAATTTGCCAGCTTGTCAAATTTGGTAGCAATTTTAAAAAAGGGTATTTTATATTTTAGTTAATCAATATCAATGTACAGTTTGTTGCTGTTTGCTGTTTGCCTAGATTGTGCATAATTTACGCATAATTATTGATGGCAAACAAATCGGTGGGTTCAATTGTTTCACCCACTTCAGTTGCAGAGCGTGTATCGAGTGTGTGTAGTTTTTAGTGAACAAACAAATTGACTTGCCATTAAATATTAGTCGTATTATCAATTTGCCGCACATTTTGCTAATATTATATAATTGCATATTAATTTTATGTGCTGGCCGGGCCATATATTTTATGGAATGCTTTTAGGCTGCTAGCGAGCACTTGATAGTACAGAAAGCAGACACTAAAACACTCTTGCTTTCAGTGGATGGCAGGCTGGGGCGAGTGGGGCACCGCTGGCAGCATCCTGTCCGTGATTAATGTGCCGCAATAATGCTAGAGCTGCTTTAAAGCAAAGCGAAACGAAAAAGGGAAGTGGCTTAAAAGTAACACACACATATACACATACTAAAGTACACACACATGTGTAACTCCATTTTCTTAGTCGGCAAATATTTTTGTCTGCTTGCAAAATATTTAACACAATGGCCATTAATGGTTGTGGGCACTGGCAAAATCTCTTTTTAAATAAGTTTTGTTGTACTTTTTCTGTAATTTTGTGTTATTTTTTTCGTTTACATTTTAAACATAACAAACGATAAATTAGCAGCTGTCCTACAGCTCCGAGTACTTGCCTGCCGCACTAATTGTAAGTGCAGGTCATATAAATAACTTCTGCTGCCGCCTTGCGATGTCCGCCAAGCGATATTAAAGTAGCCCCTTTAAAGTACTCACACGCTTCTGTTTTATTTTCTTTTCGTACATTAATTAATTATGTTATTATACGTGAAAAAGTTGCTGCAAAGTTTCCAGCATGCTACAAAATATTGAAAATTAAGACCAAGCCTTTCTTTCTGAAAGTGTTAGTCTATTAAGTGGCCGTTTTACACACTTACACACATGCGAAACACAACAACTTTTATGGTCGAAAGTTTTGTCCCTCGGCACTCTCGAGTTGGGGTTCACACATTTTAAGCGTTTTTATAGATATTTTATGCGCACAGCAACAACACGGCGTATGCGTAATGTGGCAAGTTTTCAGAATTTATGAGCAAGGTATATGCATATATGATATTCACATAATAAAGGTTAATAATTTATAAGAATGGAAAGGCGAGTGTACACTGAGATTGTATTTATAAGTTCATATTTATATATGTACCTAATTTATTAGCAAAGTAGTTTTATAATAGAAACTTGCCTTAGTTAACTCTGTCTTAAATACAACAAGATCAGAGACAATTAAAGCAAAGCTTATACATTTAGCCATTGAAACTGAATTGCAGTACGGGCTGTTGTTGTATGACGACGCTTGTTAAGTGCGTTTACCTTCAGCGGGACAAACAAATTGAGGACTAAGTGTTTGGCAAACGCGCGATACCAACAAATGTCGATAAATCATTACATGCCAAATGCTGCGACAGTCTGTGTGTGCGTGTGTGTGTGTGTACGTAAATAGGTAGTGTTTGTACACATACGTAGACATTGGCAGGCTAACACTTGAATAAATATAAATGCATGGCGCTTATGTAAAAAGCACCCAACGGGGGCACTTATCAAGTGTCGGGCCCATGTCTGCTCCTTGCTGCGGGCCCCCTGCAGGTTGACGACATGAGTGATTGCTTTGCATGTGTGTCAGTGAGTGCACTAAATTTGTGTAAGTGTGTGTGTGTGTGTCTGTGTCTGTGTGGCTGCTGTCATGAGATACTTTGACAGCTTTTGTTTGGCTTGCCAGCCAGCAGAGAGAGCCGCCTAGCCTGGCCATATAAGATGACAATGGCAGCTTGGAGCGCAGCCATGCTTCAGGCGTTATGTAAATTTGTGGCGAGTGCTGAGTGTTTTCTTTCCTTTCATGTGGGTGCGTGTGTGTTTGTGTGTGATTTGCTGTTAGTGACTTGGCAGTGTCAAGTCGTCAAACAGGTGTGCGCACTATAGCACAAGATGCAGCAACAGCAGCAGCAGCAGCTTCTAAGCAGCCTTTAAATCAAATGAATATTTATTAAAGCGTTGCAACACACACAATACAGCTACGTGCAAGTGTGTGTGAGGGGGGCGTTGAGAATGCACACCATGGGCGCCAAATGCCAAAGACGTGAGCGGTGTGTCTCAACGCGTTTATGCTTCAATAAGCTCATGATTAATAGCGCGTCTCTACGGCGTTATAATGAGCAAAGGCAACGACCAAAGTAAGACTGAGCAAAACAAAGCTGAAAAGAAGAGAGAGAAAAAAGAGTGAGTGAAATACACAGAGAGAGAGAGAGAGAGAGTTAGTTAGCTTCATAAGTTGCTGTCATGCCACCCAGAGCCAGAAATTGAACTTGGAACTAAAATGGTTCAAGAAAGAACTCGGTTCAATGCACATAGCGCGTGTCAACATGCTCTAATTTTCATACGCAGCTTAATATTTATGAAAACAAATTGAATCGGAAATAATACAAATTACGCATCCCTTAATATTGGCAACAAAATCTATAAAAAGACAACCAATTTCCTGTTTGTTTAAGAACGCAGCACATAAAAAGTCATGCAGCTTATATTAAAAATTCTGATTAAATATATTTCTGAACGCTCCTATCCTTCATAATGGAATGCGCTTTCGATGTGTTCACTGTGGGAACCAGTTCACGAACACCATTAAATGAACGACAGCTTAGGATTTGAGTGCTTTTCGAAGTTGATTTTCGAGAAGCAATGCTCACATTACGCATACGCCGCATTAGACATTAGACGAAAACGATGTAACGCCCGAACTCGTTGCCGCTTGAATATTTTTTTGAAGTATTGAGGGTGCTTTGAAGGATTTATGCAAATATTGAAGATGCCATCGTCATTGTTGGCATCGCTTAGCGCATAACTCCACACACGGCTAAATCATTGGGAGTTTGGGATATGGGTACACCTTAATGCTTTTACCATTACCATATGGTATGTCAGCTGGATCCAGCTATTGAGGAGGGGTGCAGAAAGGGGACGGGGCAAATACTGGCTGTTTGTTTGTTGATTTTCCGTTTTTCGGTTTTCTGGTTTTTGTTTGCCCAGCTGTGGGCTTCTGGCTGAGCCACTGGCAGCAGTTAATGTTACGTGTAAATGCGCATTTCCGTTTCCTGCGGCAGCCTCAAACCTCAACGCCCCGCTTTATAACACGCTCTCCCTGAACAGCCGCTCGCCGCCTAGCACTCGCCCACATATGTCAAAAAGCCAACTGTTTGACAGGAAGTTGCGCCAAGAATTTTACAGCCTATTTGCATACGCCTCAAGAATATTACAAGCTTTAAAATGTGCCTCTCTTACCTCTCCCTTTTCTAGCTCTGCTTGTGTGAGTAATTATGGTAAATAGTTTTAAGCAAGTCGAATCAAAGTGACTTTTCGGATGGAAAAATCAAAGGTGTGTTAGAATTGTAACATGGCAACAGCGTAAATGTTGGCTATAGGTTGAAGTCTGTCTTAGTTGTAGCTGAGTTCTTGATAATTTCTTATTTCAAAATAAAAAAGTTCGTTGTCTAGACAGAGAAAAAGTTGTCATAAAGCAGAGTTTGACTAAATAGCGAGTGAATTCACGCTTCTATGTTTTCATCGGAGCTAATTAATAAAAGGAATATCGCGGTGAAAATGTTTTGTTCTAAAATTGGAAAACAGTTTTGCTTAGCCAGAAAAAGTTTAAACTTGGAAAAAATAATTTCTTTATTTTATGGGATCAAGTAAAGTGCTTGGGCTCGAACAAAATGAGGTGCTTGAGATACAATCAGCAAATATGCAAGGGCTTTGATGATGGATAACTAATAGTACAACATCTAATTATAATTTTTAAAAGCTGTTAGAAAATATATCTATTTTGTTTTGATTTGGTTTGGCTAAATTCATTATTCGATTGCTTTCAGCCTTTATAAATTACCTGTTTAAATAATGCTGCTCGTTTTTTGTCATCATTTCCAATCGTCCATCTCGGAACTAATTAAGTTAAAAGAGTTTATTAGTTTTGGAAAGTTTGATCCGCCCATATGAGAAAACAATTATTATGATTATACCTGTGTCAAATAGCCTTAAGCTTAAGTGAAAAACACTAGAATGAAGACTAACGATGAGCTCGGAAAACTGATCAAATCGATATATGTTATTTTACTCAGAGCGCGTATTAGCCAGTCGGCAGCAGCCACCCGCAACACACTTACATTTATGTTTGTTATTTTAGTTGTGGACGCTGCCTGTGTGCACTTCCTATGCCCCAAATTGATTTACAATGTTGTTGCTGCAGTTTCCACTTTTGTTGCCGTAAAGCTTTTTATGCGTAACTAAATTATAGCGTAATATTTTTTTATCAATTTTTTTTTTGTTTGGTTGCGCAGAAATGGACCCTTTGGCTGTCATTTAACTTGCTTTTTATAAAAGTTCGCATGGCAAATTATGTGCGCCTACCGCTACAGCCAACATTTTACAGACATGGTTAGGGACCGTAAGCTGTGATTTTCTTTTATCCTGAACCCATTGAAAATTGGTAAAAAGGGTATATTCATTTTGTAAAAAATGTATGTTACTGATAGAAGGATCACCGACCACCGACTCACGACGACTAG